ATGTCATACAGTATGATAATAATCAAGTTCAAAAAGAGGCAGAACTGATCGATGGTAGTAGAAGACAAAATATTTTTCAAGAAAAGAGTAGGGGACAGTGGTTGTTAAGACGTACAAATTTGGTAGGGGTGGGCACTTCCAGAGCTAATGTTCTATCTAAACTGGATAGTGTTCACATGAGCCTCTTCATTTTGTGAAAATTAATTGAGCTATGCACTTGACATTTATACACTTCTTTAACACGTATTTAAGTTCAACTAATGAATAAACTGGTTTAATGCATGGGGATAACAAATATCAAAATCTTAGTAATGGTTACTTCTGGAGAAAGAGGGGGTTAACAGATTTGGGAGGAGTTGATAGGAGCAGAGGAGAGTTCAACTCTATGTCCTATTTCATTTTACAATAATATAATGCAAACATAGCAAAAATTTTAAGATATAATTAAGCTGAGGGCTTGTTACATAGTTGTTTGTTATAGTACCATTAATCTGTATACATTTATGTAAATTGAAAAATTTTCCCACACAAACAAAAACTGATCAATGAGGTTATACTAAATAGTATGCTCATCAATGCAAGAGATACTTCCAAGATCACGCCATCATGATCTCCAAATTGTTCTCAGAGAGGAGAATTCGAACATCTCAAGATATTGAAGACTGCATTCATTACGTGTCACAGAACGCACTTCATTAAGCCTTGGGTAAAACTTCTCCCTGACCTGAATCCTGGGAAGATTTAGGCTTCCCTTCCCTTAAGGGAAATAAGAGATCTTTTGAATTTTGGTATAATTGGTCTTATTTTTATTTTCATATTATTAATTAGAAGTGTCAGAGCCAAATTTGGGGTTCTTTCCTTATAATATGAGTTTGTAGTACTAATCTAAATCTTAGTTTACTTTTGATTATTTTAGTGTTAATTATTGTTTGCCCCTATTTACTTTTTATTTAATCTTTAATTTACTTCTTAAAACCTTCTAGGAATATGACTGGTTAAAAATTTTTAAACCCGTGATGATTTGCTTCTTTTTATTTTAAGATGTGTATTTATTTTTGAGAGAGAGAATGTGTGTGTAAGCAGGGTAGGGACAGGGATAGAGAGGACAGAGGACAGAGGATCTGAAGCAGGCTGTACACTGACAGCAGTGAGCCTGATGTGGGGCTTGAACTCACAAACCATAAGATCATGACTTAAGCTGAAGCGGGCACTCAACTGACTGAACCACCCAGGCACTCCTAACACATGATGATTTGACCCATTTTTTTAAATGTCCTTTTCAATTATTTATTTTCTATGTTTGTAAACATGAAGACATTTGCATGACACAGAACTGGTTGAAGAGTAAAAGGCAATGAGCTATTCTGTTGTCTGTAGGGAAAAGTGAAATCCTGGTGACTTTTACTAGGATAAGTATCTTTATGAAGACTTCATAGGATCCTCGAACCCTTCTGCATGGAGAAAATTCACACATTTACATATAGCTGATAAGGAAGGCAAAACTAGCGTCCCGACTCTTCCAAATATCTGGTATCGATGTCATGTTGACAGTTTTTTACATTTGTGTTATCTTTTATTTTGTTAATTATTTTATTTCATTATTATTTTATTTTATTACATGGATTTATTGCAACTAATTTATAAAGGATAGACACTCTGATTTCTCCAGTTCCCCTATATTCCTTTCATCTGTACACACACACACACACACACACACACACACCTTTCACATAACCATGGATGATTTGTAAATTACTTCTCACCTCGTTTTCCATTTCAGTCTCATTAAAATTTCCAAGGTCTACTCTACAGTTCAGGCTTTCTCAAAGATCAATGCAGACTTCACTTACCATTGGGTTTTGTTGATCCATCCTTCAAGAAGCTAATTTAAATTTCTCCTTGCCAGGTAATATGGTAAGTCACTGCTCTATGTCAATATTTGCTTTACGTTCTTTTCCACTTGATGGAGTTCATGAGATGTGTAAAGCATTTACTTGGCTCTTCAAGAGTGGGTTATATATGTATGTAAAAACAGAAAGGAAATGAGTGTAAACTTTTCCAAAAGGTCTTTCTGAAATGAATGATCATTTTATTATTTTCTCAGATAAAATTAACTCAGTCACTTGAAAGAAATACAACACTCATATTTAATGCAAAGTATTGAGATGAGAGAATGAAATATATCTGTATTTATAATTCATCATAACATTTTACATTCAATTTTCACTTTGCCAAAATGCATCCATCACTGTATTTTAGAAAAAGAGAGGAAATCTTAATACTTCGTGAATAAAAGTCTGAGGGGAAACAATTCCCTCTGGCAGCAGTTTTATTTCAATACAAGTTGTACCTTCAATTCTTTGATGCAGACAAAAATGCTAAAGAAAAAGCTTAAATGTTGCAATGTCCTCTTATTATTTATAAGAAAAGTAACTCCCTATATTTAGAAACAGAGCTCTAATAGTCACCTCCCACCTTTGAGTCCATCAACTTTAGGTCCTGGATATAGGATGACAGGGGTTGACCAGTGAAAGGATAACATTTCTGAGAGTTCATTTTACTCTTGAGTCACTTTTGCATGAAATGATAGCATGCCTTTTGGGGACTGGCCTCAATGCATCTCTTTGTAAATTACTTACCATATATCAGTCTTGATTCAATAGACTATAAAATATAGGGGCTTTTTACTGGCAAGAACTTAGAGCATTTTTACAATGGAAAATAATGCTCCCCTGCAGGAAAACTTAAAAGAATTAAGAGTTATGAGGCTACAAGGAGAAAGTGACCACATCTTCCCTTGCAAAGCTCTCTCTGTCTTCTATCTAGATCTCCCATGTACTATCTTCTAATCCTCCTATCCAAGGAAAGAAGATTGAAGCTTTAAAAATAATTTTAACTCAAACTTCTCTGATTCAATTCACATAATTAATTTAACAGTGGCTTGAGGTTTCTTTTTCCTTTAAAAGCACTTTTTTTCCTAATTGCCTGATTTTCTAATAGGAATTAGAATCTTCCATTTGAATCCTCTCAGAGCCTGGTTTCATCTACGTCCTATATTGGAGACTAGAAAAGTGGATTACAGATTAAACTTAACCTGCTTTTAAGCTTCTTGAATTTGGTTCCTATTGGATATTATATTCCTTTATCAGCTAGGAACCCATGGTGATGACAGTACACAATGGTCTGATATGACCAAACAAAATCAATCTCCCTGCTTAACTATTCTACAGCATTTGTCTCTGAAATAATATTGTGTATCAGGAGCATAATTCTGGTTTATAAAATGCTATTACTGTATTTAATTTTGATGTTGCTTAAAGAGTCAAAGTGAAAAAATGCACTCACCCTTTATGGAAACTGTGACATACGCCCAGATAAACACACACACACGCACGCACGCACGCACGGACGCATACACGCACACGTGTGCAGGCACAAAGCCATACAGAGGTTTAATAAAGAGTCATTTAGTGCAAATGAGCTCTTAATAAGGTCAAAATATGAATCTGGTCTGAAAATAAAAAATAGTAGTGTGGTTCTTAGAGGAAAATCTTCACCTTTGGAAAAAAATCATCATGAAAGAATCACACTGCTGACTAAAGTATTTGGCCTCTTCTGTTTTCCCTTTTTGTTTTTTCTCTTACCATGAAGGGGAAGAAATGGAGCAGAAACTAAGAAAAGAAATAAATAAGACTGGAGGAGACCTAAAGTTGAGAGAAAATGAAGAAAGTTAGAATCCTTAATACTAGATAATGGGACAAAAAGTTAAGGGAAATATGATAGCTACTCGATATCTTCACTCTATCAAGTTATGCTTCAGCCAATAAATTGCCTGGAGTTGTGAATACAATGCTTGGCTTTAAAGAAGATAAAGTTAAAACTTTTAAGTTCATAAATGGAAAAAAGAAGCTGAATTTAATAAAAAGGCACCAATCATGGAAAAATCTTCACCAAATCCAATCCCCTGACTAGAAGAGAGACTGAGGATCAGAGAAACTCAGTGATGTGCTCAAGTTGATGATCAGCATATTAATGATGGGGCTGGGACCAGAATTCACACTTCCTGGAATTTCCACTGGCACCTCAATCGCCCCCCCTCCAATACCTAAAAAGTTGTGTGCTTTTAACTTTCTCCTTAATCTGCATTCATTCTATAGTTAGGTGTTCAGGGTTTTCCCCATGCCAGGAATTAGGGTCAGTGAGTATTTGTACTCATGGAGCTTAGTCTTTGAGGAAAACCAACATCAAACCATGTTTCTTTACAAAATGAATTACATCTATAATGAATGCTAAGAAGTGGATAGTAAAGAAGTGGATAGTAAAGAAACATTTTGGAAGTATCAGCTATTTACTTACTGCTCTGCTGAGATTTTTCCTCATTAAGGCCACAAAGACACATTTCTTTCCTCATTTTACCTGAATTTTCTTCAATCTTTGACATCATAATGGTTTCTTCCTCTTGAAGCTCCCTCTTCTCTTGACACAATCTATTTTTTTTTTTTTTTGGTGGCATTTTATCTACCTTCCAAACAAAGTAATGCAAGAGTTTGGGTATCCAGGCCAAACTAGAGAGTTACTGTAGGACAGGTTTGTGGCTGCAAACCTTGGATAAGACAGGAACTCAAGCACAGCTTTGGGGCTGAGGCTTCAACAGAGTCAAATTCATGGTAGTAAAAGTTACTGGGAGCACACCAGAAGAGTCGTCAAGAGTGAAGCCATGGGAAGAATAAATAACCTGGAGAACATGAGCATGGGGCATGTGAACCCAGTGAAAATGTCCCCAAAGATCTTTATTTTCCAGAAGTATCTAAATATGCATACAATTTTTCTTATAGTAATGAATTCCTAAAGCAAAAGTGAACTTTAAAAAAACAATAAATTAAGGAATATGATTTTCGTTACATAGCCTGCTTGAGACACAAAGAGGAACATTTAATATTAAAAATATTACAATGATATGTTTTCATGTCCCCCTTAATCATTTTTCCCTGTAGCTCTTCCGTCACGATGGCTCCAAGAAAGAGTAAAATGTGATGCATTCAAAGTCCCTGCTAGTCAAAAAGCTTCCACTTACAGGAAGAGAGAAGAAGATGGAAAAGGAAGAATAAAAAGTCTGAGGGGAATGTCCTGTCCTCTTTAAAAATGAAACACGCTACCAGGTGAGAAGGGCAGAAACACCGAGGTAGGTTCAGTGTGTGTGTGTGCGCGCGCACGTGTGTATGTAGGGCTGAAGGAAGAGATTAAAAGGACACAAAAGACAAAAAACAAAAAACACCTGTTAAAATTCTCAAAGAGATGGAGAAAGAAAATTCAAGTAGACGTTTCATTTTTCCAGCAATCCCAACCAGGCTCAGGAGTGGCAAAATGGCATTATTACAGTATTGTCATTAAAGTGAGGATGAGCCTCAGAATTTCCTCTATCTACATTTTATACACAAAGGGTTCAGAAACCTGAGTGCCTTTCCGCATCTAGAAGGCTGAGCTGCTAGCTTGCAGGCCTGTCTGGGAGCTTCTGTAATAATAGCATGGGAACTAGGGGTAAGATCAAAGACAATGGTGGAGAATGACCTGCAGACCAGTAAGAGTGGGAGTAGGTAAATAGAGAATCACCACATGATCCTGCATTTCCATCCCCAGGTATAGACCAAAAAGAATTAAAAGCAAGTCTTCAAATAGAAATTTGTACATGATTGTTTATTGCAGTTTTATTCACAATTGTCAAAAGGTAAGAACAACCCACATTTCCAGTAAGAGAGAAGTGGATGAACAAAAAGTCATATATTCATAAAATGGAATAGTATTCAGTTGTAAAAAGGTAATAAAGTATTGGTACATGCAACTACAGAGATGAACTACAAAAACATTATGAGAAGTGAAATAAACCAGACATAAAAGACCACATCTTGTATGATTCTATTCCTATGAAATGTATCCAGAACAGATAAATTCAGAGAGACAGAAAATAGTGGGTCTAAGAGCCTGTGGGGGAGGAAGAATGGTTATTAAGTACATGGTTTCCATTTGGGGTGGTGAAAAACTTCCAGAACTAGAGAGTGGTGATGGATGCACAGCATCATAAATGTACTTAATGTCACTTGATTGTATACTATGGTTAAAATGGCACATTTTATGATATGTGTATTTTACCACAAGATAATAATAGTGATAGTAACAGTTATAGTAATGATGATGATAATGATGATGATCATCATCATTATCATCATAATAATAACAATAATAGAAGTAGAAGTAGGGCCTTGGCAACAGGAAGCAGTGGGTAACTCCCTTGTGTAATGCTTAGCAGGCTTTATACATGCCAAAGGAACAGAATATGAGTTTCACTGAGTAAGTTCTTCAATATTGGGCACTAGAGCTAGATACCACAAGTGGTCAATGGAGATCCAGAGTTATGAGGACCCTGAGCCCCAACTATTCCACTATTAGAATGGAGTAGTTGAACAAGGAGCAGCCTTGGGGAGTGCGAGGAAAGAAGCAAATTAGATTGGAATTAAAATTTCAGTTGCCTTAATTTCTGAAATGAGACAATTGAAACCAAAAGAAATGATTTTAAGCTGGAAAGGCATGAGATGCTATAATCGTCAAGTTTAGAAATATTTTTTCCCCTTCCATCAGCAGAAATGGGTATCTCAGAGTGAGATGGAAATAGTTATAGAAAATGAAAAGACCACTTTTTTGGGGCATAGTGCAGTATGTATATTTTAGGTTTTAGTGAGATGGAAATAAGAAGAAGTAATGTACAATGCAGGCGTGTTTATAACCCATCTCTTTGTCTGAGTGACATTATGATGTGTTTATCATAACAGTGATGAGGAACTTGACAGAAATGTAGGAAGTGCTGTGTCGGGGTGGTGTTTGTGGTGACAGAAGATTCTGTGCTTGAGCAAAAGTGTGTATGAAGCTAACACTCCATGATGTTTAGGTGTTATAACTTTACATGTATGTAATGATAAAAGCCACCATTACTGCAAAATTCTACAGGATAAAGATGTGTTATAGAAGGTTTGAAACTTTTACACATTTAATCTCCACTTTCCCATTGAAACAACTGTTTTTATGATCAACTTTTTGATAACGAGAGACTTCCAATGGCACAATTACGATGTCATAGCACAGAGGTGGCTCTCAGATTTCTCAAAACTGTCTGATTACTATTTTTAATATTTTTTCATTTTATTTATTTGAAAGAGAGTGTAAGTGAGTGGGGGGATAAGGTCAGAGGGAGAGAGAGAGAGAGAGGGAGAGAATCCCAACCAGGCTCCACGCTCACCTGGGAGCCTGACTCAGGGCTCAATCCCATGATCCTGGAATCATGAGCTTAGCTGAAACAAAGACATGGATGCTTAATCAACTAAGCCACACAGGTGCCCCTGGTTTACTATTTTACAAAATAGTAATATCTTTTACATATATGTGTACAGATTTTGTGTTTTTCTTTAAAATTTTGTAGACCTTGGTTTGGTGCATGGAGACAATCAGAACTGAATCTCCAGCTTGACAGAATGTTTAGCCCTCCCTGTTGTCTCAACAACAACAGTGCCACTTCACTCACTTTAGATATCTTGATCTGTGGGCATTGGTGTTCACCCTGTGCTGCAGCCTAATGTGTGTTACTATGTCCAAAGACAGGGATTGCACTGGCAAATCGTACTGTTTGGCTTAAGTGGCAAAATCCCAGAAGTCATCCATCTCTGGATATGACAAACCACCAACTCCTTAGCTCAACAAGACTGAAGTGATAGTAAGGATGCCATCACCCTGAAACAGAATTGTTTACTAACCAGGAGAGCGTTGTATAAATTAGACTGTAAAGTACAAAACGGAATACATATATAAGGCATTGTTACAGTGTTGTTATTAACAAGTATTCTGGAGTTTTGCCAAAGAATCTGGACTATTTTATGATGATGACTTTGGTACAGCAAATGCAGCCTCGGAGAACTTAGCTAAGCTACAAGCCATACTGGGAAAACTGAATAAAACTAAGACATTCATTTTGAAAAACAGCATTTGAAATTTCTACATTTGTGTTAGAGAGTGTACAGCCTTACTAGCACACAGGTCAGTAAAAGCATTAATTTGGAAATATAGGTTTTTAATCTTAGTGCACAGATCTGTGTTTCTCAATGGTTATAGGTACTTTTAGGAGAACAATGTTGTCAGTCCTTCTGGCATCTCTGCTGATTTTGTAGTTTAAATGAACTCTCATTTTCATACACAAGGTAAAAGTGAAACAGAAGGATTAAGCAACTGGTTGAAGGTAACACTCAATGAAGAGAAAAGAGGAACTATGTCTATTGATTTGCACACCAGTCATACGATGACCTAATTCTTCCCAGGTGCCAAGACCCAACTAAATAAGTTTCCATTACTCATTTAATAATAATTGATTAAATAATGGCTCAATATTGTCACTGAACTTTTATTATTATTTATTTTTTTTTTACAAATAGTTTATTGTCAAATTAGTTTCCACACAACACCCAGTGCTCATCCCCACAAGTGCCCTCCTCCATGCCCATCCCCCCCCCCCCACATCCATCAGTCCTCAGTTTTTGTCAGCATTCAAGAGTCTCTCATGGTTTGCCTCTCTCCCTTTCCCACACCATTTCCCCCCTTCTTCTCCCGATTGGTCCTCTGTTAAGTTCCTCCTAGTCCTCCTATACGTGCACACATATGATATTTGTCCTTCTCTGCCTGACTTACTTCGCTCAGCATAACACCCTCAAGGTCCATCCATGTTGCTACACATGGCCAGATTTCATTGTTTCTCATGAACTTTTATTATTTTAACTGCATTGCTATCAACAGTTATGTAGAGATTCATAAAAGATTGTTCTTGATATGATGGAAGAATTGATTTTCTTTCAGACAACTGATCATTCAGAATTTTGAGTGTGGAAATCTTTTAGGACTGTACTTTGATTTCTTAATAGGATTATAGTTAATCTCTTGATGAATAGTAATACACAGTTCTTTATTCATGGCTTTCTGTTGAATGGTTGACTTTGTTACCCTCTCTTACGCCATGTTTTCTCTCACGCTGTCAGCACGTACAAGTGTTGAGCAGGCTAAAGATCTCTCTCACTGGCTTGTTCTCTGACTGAAAAGTATGAGGACAAATAAAGTGGAAAGACAAATCCATTTGCTATTTGGTGTAAGATAAACTCACACTAGGAGATCAAAGGAGACAATTTACAAGATTAACTTGAAAAAATCTACTTTCGAGGACATTTTTGGCCAGGGTTAGGCTATGCAATCATTCATCATCTCTGTGTCCTGTAGGTTTTACAGATTTCTGCTATGAAACAAAAACAGGAACCAGTAATTGAGACAATGGTAAAAACTGAAATTTGGAACTGTGGCTTGTCTTTGTTTCAGCCGAGACGCAGCTGAGGTTTTCTGCTAAGTGTAGTGGAAAATAAGGGAAAAGGAATTATTGCCAAAAAAGTAAATATAGTGATGGCTGAATATATATATTAAATTATTTTCCAAGGAGCTTTTGTGTGAGAGACTGTCTGATAGTACACTTCAATGCATTTACATCTTGGAATTTTAAAGGGTCTGTCTATCAGTGTGCTTTCTGAATGGGTTTTCAATTGCACAAATGGTCTCTATCACATGAAAAGCAATACTGTTTTTTGAAAGGCAATGTACTTATTGTGCTACCCACATGGGACTATCAGTGCCTATTGGCTACCAACAATTACCTTTGAAATGAAAAATATTGTTTGTATCAAAGAACTGTTTGAGTCTAAAGAAAAAGCTTTGCAGCCTGCCAATCATCCCCATATCCTGAGGATTATATTGTTGGGAGTTTTATACAATTTACATGCAGAACCTGAAAATGACTCCAGTGAGTTATATAACCCCATGGGGTGTTTTCACTCTGGTTAGGTTGCATTTCCTGACACTGCTGACATCAGATTCTTTTTGTGCAAGTAGGAACCAATGTCCTTCTATTTTTAGATATCTGTAGTCTGTCCATCAGTGATTACTTGGAATGCCTTTTTCCTCCAGAAATTTCAGAAAATCACCTTTATCAGTTCAGCTGGGGATTAAGGAAAACAGTTATTATAAATGTCTCCCTAGATTACTGGTTTGGAAAAGCAGCAAATAGAATAGTGAGTGTCATCTAGGTTACCAGAATAAGTTACCAGGGCT